AAGTGACGGCACTGACTAGTATACTACCTTGCAGTTAAAAGGACCTGGAGCGGAACTTTCTCGAAGGGTCCAAAATCTGCTCGCTATTTCTCAAGTTCAAGGAAATGGCCTTAATGGTGGCTCTCTTTATCTTCCAGGAGCAACTAACATCCACGAACAAAGTCTTGCTGACATGCAAGTGGTATTGTTTCGCGTGGAAATCGAGCATCTCTAACAATTAAAAGATGATTCGAATGATTGTGTAAGGAACAACAACCTCTCGAGACAAAGTCCCAACGAGGAGTGTTTTGTTGATGAAGATTACGATATGGACGAAGCGAAATGCCTCCAAGGGGTACAAGCACACTGAAATTTGCAAAGTAATTTAAGGTTAACAAGAAGAAAAGAAATAAAATTACANACTCCAAGGGATACAAGCACACTGAAATTTGCAAAGTAATTTAAGGTTAACAATAAGAAAAGAAATAAAATTACATAATTCTCTATTTGAGAGTCGTTTGATCTTATGTCTCTTCTAAATTCTTCTTTCTCTCTTGTACTCCTTTGACAGTTTTCCTTGTAGAACCGTTTGAAAACTGTTTTTCACTCTATAACTACCCATTTTCTCTATTATGGATGACTTGTCAAGAAACTACCGTTTTCAACCGCTACCATTACTCTCATCACTTAACTTCTTGCAACTGAGATTCTTGGATCGTGGAATGTGATAAGATCACCAATTAACTTCATCAATAACCGTTGCTTCGAACAGTAACCAAAACGCTATATTCGCCCAGATCTTAGGCATCTAGGCATCTTGTAGGCTTGAGTGATGATGGGCCTCCATAACATAACTCCATCTTGGATTTTTATTTGGTCTCGTTTGGGTCCATCCTTCGAATTTTCTAACTGTGCTTCATTCTTTGGACCATTTAATTGGGTTTCATTTTTTGTATGTCAACAATTACCCCCCAACATGGCAAAATTAATATCAATTATTAATCTTATGACATATTCTTCCTTTGTATTTTCCAGTAATGCTTGAAATCCCAAAAAGGGCAGAGAATCCCAATAACTATTTTCGTTTGGCGGTAATCCTCTACATCCTGAAAAGTGTAACATCACCCAACTCCTATAAACCAAAGGGCACGCCACTTCATCGTGCCATTATACCCACATCTTGTATTGCGCGCTTTTCTTTCACTTATAAAGATCACTGTTCATCTTCTTGCTTTTCTACTACGCTTCTTAAAAATCCCCACCAATACTATAATTTGTAGCAAATGGCGACTTCACAAAGCTCTTCCGACAACTCCCTTAGCTTCGAAGACTTCCAAAACCTCCTCACCAAGCCGTATATAAATCCCGCTTCCCTTTCACCAGCTAACCCTGACCTCCATAAATTCTACCTAGGCCCGTCATTTAATGATGATGAATCTGTTGGGCAAGCGGCGGTGGGCCAGCTATTCCCTTGCATTCAAGATCCTCATTTTCTGAACTCTTTGCTACTAAAGCCAATCCGCGAGAAAGTATTCGTAATTGGCCCAAAACTGATACTACTTTTCGCATGTGACATCACGTATGGTAAATCATGGCCCTACGCCAGGATTTCGAATTTATTAGAAATCACTTTCCGTCCCCAATCTATGATGCCGTGCTTTTCCCTATTGCTTTAAGTTTTTGGTCTTCTGAGTATAATACTTTTATTTTCCCGCTTGACCCAATGTCTATTACTCCGAGAAATGTTGGAGCCCTATTAAACCTTTCACCTTTGGGTGACACCATTTCTCCTGCCATTTTGGTTACTAGCACTGCCCCAAAATTTGAGAAAATATTCACTGATTCTTATTCGGGCATGTAGGAGCTTTATAATAATTCTGGTGCTGAACCTACTCACGCTGAGTGTGTTGCTTTTCTTCAAGTTTGGCTTTGTAAATACATTCTTTGTGTGCCCAGCGTTAAACCTTCCATGAGTTATTTACCCATAGCGCATAAACTAGCGCGCGGTAGGCCTTTAAATCTTTATTCATTATTCCTAGCCACCTTTTATAGTGGCATGACTTCCCTTTAATATTAGTTAAGGAATGGTGCATCTCCTATTGGCAGCGGGCCTCTTTGGCTCGCTCAATTGTGGTTGAGAGCATATTTTCCATGACTTGGTGCTCCATCCACTCCTTCTCAATCTATTAGTTGTTACGGGCTGGCCATCAACCAATTGAGCCCTGTTAATATGTCCAATAAGGACGTTTTTTCATTCTTTTATAATTTGAATTCAATCTCTTCCTTGTTTCCTTTTCCTACTCACTCAATTCCAAACTATGTGCATACTCCTTCTACTATGGATGATGTGAGCACCTTTTTTCCCATTTGGGCTCAATATTTGACTGGGAAAGAATTGTTCCACGACATCTTAACCGGAACAAACGCTAAGGCAGGGGTTGAGATATATGTTCCTCAGTTTTTTGCCCGTCAACTTGGTTTTGGCCAAACATGGTCGGTTCCTCCCTATTTTTCCAAAAGTCTGACGGACCATTTTCATACTATCAATAAAACAGAGGCACATGCAATTGATGCCCGTAATACTCTTTTGACAAACGATTTCTCCTTGGCCCCTTTTAATCCCACTTTTGTCGTTCACCCTCTTTTTAAACAATTCTGGCCATCCGTGAAGCGTAGGTTGTTCGCAACTGATGTTAACCACGCTTTCCACTAGCTGGAAAGGTCGGGGACTCCTTCCATTTCTCTTATTCCTCTCATTTCTGTATCTGTTAGGAACCCTGCTTCTCCTTCGAAACCCCCCACCTGCTCGTGTTAAACATCCTACTCTTCCATCTATTTCCCTACCTGCTCAAACTGGAACAGCTAAGGTGTTCCCAGCCGCAAGCAGGCAGCTTCAGTTTCGTCAGGTCTGCCCGATGACGACGACGACGATGATGATGATGCCCTTCTCGTCATCAGGAGATAGGTAATCAAGTTTGTTTATTCATGAAAAAATCCTTCATATTCATATGTTAATGTTTTACCTGGATCTTCCAGAAAAGCACAACTTCTCCTCTGAAGACTCTGCCTTTACCGACTCTTGCTCCACCACCTTTCACCAAAGCTTCTCTGTCCAAGTCCTCTGACGAGGGGACTTTACCTAAGGAGATGCCCACAGTCCAAGAGTTTTTTATCGCACAGCTAACTGGAGAACTTCGACCCTTCCAGGGAGCTGACCCCCCCCAACGTATTGAACTGGCAGGTAATACATA